TGGCCCCCTAAGAAAACCACCTGCTTCAGTCTGGGCACCTGGGCAGTATCACAGCCCTCACACAAATCGAATGAGATTTGTGCGGCGCATGTTTATCTGGTGCTTCCTTGTACCAATATTTATGTGTTTAAATAAATAAATAATTATAGCTCAGAGTAAGGATAACAGCTACTTAGCACTCCTCAAGCCTTGGTATTTGCAGAGTAATACCGTCGAAGCTGTTTAGCTTGTTGAAAACCTTCCATGTTCAGATGGCGAAAATTGGAACAATTCAACAGATCCTCATCATTCTTCAAGACATGTTTATTCTGTTCGGAAATAGTCATTCAATTTTCATCACTTTTTATTTCACTTGTTTTATGATACTTTTTTAATGCAGCTCAGTAGCAAGTGTAGATATCTTATTCTAACATCACAAGAATTTTTCATAATTGTTAGACCCTGAGCATTTTTTGTCCTTCATTTCCATTAATCTTTCGTGGTCTTCTATTTTATTTATTTGAACATAAATATTGATACAAGTGGGCACTAGATATATATGCGCCACAAAAAATCGTCATTTCATTTGTGTGAGGGCTGTGATACTACCCAGGTGCCCAAACTGAAGCAGGTGATTTTCTTAGGGGGGCACACCCGGAGCCTTTGACCTAAAGGTCTGATCCACAAGACAGTGGAGCATCGTGAGGAGATGCAGTTCCACGGCACCCGGTGACCAACGATTGATTCACACACCATTTGTCCCCTCAGGACATTGGAGCCCATGTGCACCATTGGTTTGGAATGAGGGTTTTCTAACTCCCTTAGTTGGAGTTTCCATGTCCACCAACCCGGTTAAAGCGCCAGACATTCGTTTTTTGTTCTCTCAATTTCGTAAACAACAGTAATGCCACGAGAAGGCGGTGAGTAGGACTTCCCTGGCTGAGGCTGTACAAGCGTGGTCGTATGAGAGCATTTAGAGAGACGGAGGACTATCTCCACTCTCGACCTTTAATATGACACTTGGGGGCTAAAGTCCTTATTGACTATAACTCAAATAATGATAGAGACGAGTCTTATCTAACGATCTTGTAGTCACGTTTTTGGAATGCTACAATAAACTGCCTGTTTGTAAATTGATAATTATACTATGTAGTAATGCATACAATTTTTACTGTGTGCACGTGAAATACATGTAATCAGAAAGCAGCATAGTTGTGAATGTTCCAACTCTGACTTTGAAGCACCTTCCAAATCCATTGAAATCATTAGATGCTAGACTGGCCTTTGGGGAGTGTTCTAGGTTGAAGTTAACTACTGAAAAACAAACTATTGTGTAAGGCAAGTCAATAGCATTGAAGAATTTAGTAGCCTTACAGTGTAACTTTTGTACCGCTACTGATATGGCTATTTGTTATGACTGCGGAAAAAACTACCATTTGGTACTCGTTACAGCATAACAGGATGGATATGTCTCAGTTAAGGAAGAAAAGCAGGATTGTAAATGAAGGTTTATTTTTACATTAACTACTTGCTTCGCCACTGACAACCGACTTTCAACTGATCAAAGTGATATCCAAAGTTAAAATGAAATTTACAGGGTTTTTAACTATCTGATCAGTGGTTAAATTTGACTCCATTGAACTGGAAGCGATTGGCACTAATTGACAAGTAACTTAATGCATGTATATAATTTGCCAAATCAACAAGTTAACTGCTTTGACTAAAAAATGTAACTGAGTTGTATTTTTACTTCTTCCTGTCAGAAACTACCAAATAATAAGACTGATTTTGAACAATAATATATTTATAAGTTCTTTTCAGGAAAGATCTTATTGGGAAAGTTTCTATATACTTGATATTTCGCCTCTAAATTACTTAATTGATTTCTACGTATTTATATCGATGGTTAGATATTGCAGCAACCGGCCTATAAATGGTTTATTGTTACTCACCAAACATTATTATTTATCAGGTCATTTGTAAACATGAAGATCACTTTATGCAGGTTGAAAACTAAATAATTGATAAGAAGTGATGACTTGGATTGGTAAATCAGTTGATGAGGTGATGAATCTTCATCGACTGAGATGGTTGGGCCATGTGTTACGTATGCCTGAACACCGATTACCACGACGCGCTATGATGACTAGTGTAGGGGATTGTTGGAAGAGAGTTAGGGGCGGCCAAACCAAAACATGGCATCAGTGTTTGAAGTCACTAACTTCTAGTCTGAGCCATGTTGACAGATGCAGACTACCTGGTTGGGGTCCGCGTGACTATCGTAACCAATGGTTGGAGACTCTAGGTGACATGGCTCAGAATCGATCACAATGGCGTAGGTGTATACACTCTTTGTCTTCCCTTAAACCTTGAGACTAAAATTGCTTCATATCTCTCTTCCTTCCTATACTATATCCTTATATACAACCTATAATTTATATACTACTACCACCACTACATTAATTACTTCTATGAATCCGGTGTTCATCTTGTTGTGCTAACGAGGTATGGCAACTTGGACCGATGCATATATGTGCCTGGTCCTACGTTGTAGCTGACTGACTGGATTACTACTTCGAGGACTAGTTAACTATCAACAAGCAAATGCCTAAATACAATATTAATAAAATTTGTTTAGTATCAGTTGGTGTAATCTTACCAACTAATTGACCGTGGCTGCCAGAACGTGTCTTGTTAACAAAAAGGAATTGCAATTGAGTTAGACCAAAAGTAAAAGTTGTGATGGGATTTGTTTCGTACACATCAGTTACTATTATTTTCTTGGTCTAAAAATGGGGTTTATTATAAAAGTGACATCCGACTATGGCATAAATTTTTGTGTGCAAATGACCTGTGAAGTTAGCTATGTAAGCTTTTATTTGGTTAAAACTAGTTACCTATATTTGTTAAAATGACCTGATCAGTATTACAAAGGTCAGTTGTAAGATAGAGGAACAGTGTTAAAAAACTACCAAGTAATTTGCAGTCAGAGCAGAATCTTAGCCTATCAAGAGCTTTTAAGATAGTTATCAAATTGAGTACACTTTTTAAAAACGATGATTTTAAATATGTTTTTAGTAAAAACTTTAAACTTACCAGTTCGTTTTTTATCTTCTAGTGTATTTTCATTCTACTTCATTTTGTTTCTTATTATGTACTCGTCAAGGTTAACTTTTGATTGGTATCTATTTTGACAGAATTTTTGCAAAGAATTTACTGTAACTTCATTAATTTCCCACTACTATTTATATATTTTGTCCTGCTTACCTGTACACTCGTTTTTACTGCTTGGGTTTTTAATTGTACCTAATTGTTTACAATAAATATCTGAAAACAACATCACCTTTTCCCACCTTTTATTTACTGTGCATACTTCATACTCCTAGCGTTTTATTTTAGAGAGCAAGTTCTTCAAATGTCAGATGCTGTTAAGGTGATTCCAGATGATGAGTCTCAGCGAGAAAATTGCACATCGCCGTCTGAACCAGTTACTTTTGTGGAAAAGTCTGAAAGCAGTTGCTCCCCATGTATTCCACAGCCTATTCCACCGGAACTTCCTGTTAATAAGTTGTATGGAATTCGATCTATAATTGGAACCTGTTTATTGTTGTTTTCTGCGTACCTTGGCTCTATCTTCTTTATAGCTCCATTACTGCCGTTGGCTGTCCTGTCGCCTGTTTTATTTCGCTATTTTAATGACTTTCTCTTGACATCATGGCTGATGTTTGCTGAAGTAAGTATATATTCAGGTATAATTTGATGACTAAAAGATGGGATAATTGCAGTAAAAATTACTGCTCAGATAAATTTTTTTTTAAGTATAATAACAACAGAATACTTTAGTTTCAGACATACTAACTTAAGCACAGATGCCATTAGGTGTGAATAAAGCAATTAGGTATCACATCAAAACACAGTAAATTCCCCTCCGAACTGATCGCTGAACATAACAAATTAATAGCCATCATTGGATTGAGACTCAATGATCATCTTCAAAAACCAATGGCACTATCGAAAATTTAGATACCAGCTCACGCGACATCGCACGAGGATGAAATACTTTTCTAATCGCAATAAATATTTAGGAATTAGTGTAAAGCGAAATAATCCTACATTCTACAATTCAAATAACTTTTTGTTAATCCCTAATTCTACATGCTCCATTGTTTTTGTTTTCCCAGTATAAACTAGTTATCAAGGGTGAATAATTTTTTTTGTCAATTTAATTAAATGATTGATTCTGTGAATATTCTTGAGTCATTCTGATTGTTTCATATGTTAATTCTTGTTTCTATTGTACTTCAATCCTGATTTCCGATGAAAACAAATTCTTGTGAGAAAAGTTATCATGTGTGCATCAGCTGATTTTCGCTTGAAAAGAATTAGATTGACAAATGCTGTTTGTATTTCTTGAAAAAAAGCTAGTAGATTTTCTTCATCAAACATCTCATAAATAACAAAAGTTTGTACTCAACAGAAGACAAGTGAGGCGAATGTAACTTCAATTTGACTAGACAATAGAGTTGTTGATTTTCATTGAAATCACTAACAGATCTATGTTAGATAAACCGTTGAAAGCTTTTTAACACTTGACAGCTATTTTGTCTTAGTAAGAGACTCCTGAGTGGTGTACATTCACTACCTCTTAACCGAGGATCGAACCCACAGCCTTCGGTCTCGCTCACTATTATATCATGTCAGTACGTGCGTGCCCTGTTTAGTATATGAAGTGATGATTCCCGCCAAACAGAGAGGAGTGAATTATCGGTCAGAGCAATGATACACAAAAAGCCGTATGAACAGTCTTGAGTACTTATCAGTCCTGCTTTCTGCCAAGCCCAGCCAGTTAAGCCCAGAACACCAATAACAGCCTCTGCAATATGAATCATTATTCTCAAACATACTGATTTTATATACCAAAGAAACTGACCACATCATACCATAAAATAGAAAATAACATTTGTACAAGATTTAGCCAAATGTGGCTTTGAATAGGGGGGGGACAGTAATTAATAGATTAGGGATAACTCAAGAATGGTAAATCGCACAATAATGGTCTATAGGTCAAAATAAAGCTTATAGTAATAGGGACACAAATATGGATACTTTAGTTACTTAAAAATTATACGACAGGAAATATGCATATCACACTGGTTCATAAATAGTCCTCTAAGTTACCATTCCTAATTCTCCACGGGATATAACGCTCACTAAGCTGGCATCTATTTGCGTACAAGTATAACTTCAATCAATGCGCTTTATTTCGAGACCATTTTCTTATTGTCTTTGTTGGGTGCTTTCCTCATACCTGATATGGTTGAACTTCACTGGTCACAGCTCACTAGATATCCAGAAATCCCCTCTCGTGGACTAATTAAAGTCAGACTTGTACTCGATTAGATGCCAGCTTAGTAGTCTTGAATTAAGCGAACCTAATGTTTTAGAATTCGTCACTCGAAACCTTGAGTCTCTAATTGTATCGCTAATCCATCTGTTTCACTCAGACATTATATTCATTCGATTCAATCATGGAATTTCCATTCTTAATGCTCTCCTAAATTTAACTTGCCATGTTAATGTTACTTACAGCCTGTTCTGCAATTGTTTTAGCTCAGTTCTTTTTAAAGCTGAATTGGTTTGCGGATTTCATGCTCATTCTGTGTACATTGGCTGGGTGTGGTGGCGTGCGCCTGTAATCTAGCTGCTTGGAGGCCAGGGTGCAGGATTTCGTGGGACCGGGAGTTCTGGCATATGGGTGTTCATGTTGATGGGGCGTCCACGCTAAGCACGGCGCCGATATGGATGACCTGTCGGAGGACAGGTTGTCCAGGTCGTCGAAGGAGGGGCGGACCGGCCCTTTTACATATTACCCACTGGTGTTTGTACAGTCAGTCACTATCATCACCCCCCTCTATTCCTTTTAGCTCATATCTCAATGGGTAAACCTATATGTAGTTGTCAGTCATCAGATTAGATTGTTTGAAATGCTTCGATACTTAGAAATGGTTAGTTGTTAGTATTTCGATATTATTAATCTTTATTTTTACGTCGTCTGCAAGTTGTAGATTAAAAACATGTCTCATTGTTTCATCTCACTGACTCTTATCAACATTTATCGTAAGTAATAGGGAAGCTGTTGATTTTAAACCTTATATATTAGATAAATCTCCCGATGAAGTTTTATGGCACTGCAGAAATGTTATTTTTTCTGCAACTTACTATTTAGCTTATGAAATTCAATGATTGGTATATTCATGTACCATAACAGTTCAGAATATGATGTCAAATATAAGCCAAAGTAACTCCAACACTTTCCTTGAATACCATTCAAAATTGTTTGCAGAATTGCTTGTTGATATTTCTTGTCATGTGATCTGTTCTTCTTACTAAATGATCTTATTTCTTGTACTTAGCTATCATAGTTTAAATAAGTACTGTACCAAATTTCTCAATGAAATGATATCAATATACTCGAACTAACGTATTGTTGCTTTTAGTTTGTAATATGCAAAGTTTTTGGTTGTCGTATCCGTCATTTTGGTGACCGAGTTATACCATCCACCACTACGGAACACCATAGCTGTCTCTTTCTGATCAACCATCGGACGCAATTAGATTGGTTCTTCGTGTGGGGTTTAGGTGATCCAATCCAGCGTATGAAAATAATTCTTAAGGATTCTCTTGCGAAAGTTCCAGGTGCTGGTTGGGCTATGCAATGTGGTAGCTTTATATTCTTACGCCGGCGTATTGCAACAGATCAACAGCGGTTACAAAAAATTGTGGAATATTTACTCAAAGTTAAACAAAGTTGCCAAGTATGTAGTGTTTATTTTGAGCGTCTGCTTTCTTGTGTTTTCATACTTTTACTGCGGTCCCTATGGGTCCTGGATCTGGAACCTTGTCCGGGTCGTGGATATTCAGTCTTGAGAATTCTCATGATTAGGTTAAACAGTGTTTCATGGTTTTGTAGTTTTCATTGGCTGTCTAACTAAGGTTAGCTCGTATGACCACGAGGATTACGAAACAAACCCATTATCATCATCCTATCGATTAACACAATGGACCGAAGTGTGACTGTGAATTGGTTCGTCAGTAATACAACTTATTAACTATTTTCAGTGGACAAAGTTTTAAAACCTAACTAAAACTATTTTGAAATGGTAAGGTGGATCGTAGAAAAAGTGTAGCAGAAGATTAACAATACTTATTATTTCACACAGGGTCTCTCACGTAGGCCGAAGTTTCTTGCTTTATGTGTGACTAAAAGTGTGGTAGACTCTAATCACAAAATTGTAAGTAGTATGTGACCTTGAAGCTGTCACGGTTGTCAGACAGGGAGAAGAGTCAGTGCATCAAAAGTACGGCGTAGTCAGAACACTTGAAGACTAGACGAGAAGACATTTCGGATTGCCCACAAGATGCAAATGAATGATGGAAGGCTATATGTATGTATTATATAAACACTGTAATTTCTCACAATAAATATTAGTTCGTTCCTTCTGCTCAGTGTCTTGTTTTACAAAAACTTTCCTGATTGTTTTCCTATGGGATGAATATTTTTACTGTTTCGTTAAAAGATTGTTAACAATACAGTATGATTTAAATATTACAAAGAATAATTTGACAAAGTTTTAAATTGGCTGTTAAAAACTTGATTTAAATTAGTGTTATTTACCGTTAGTAAGACCACAACTCTATATTTCTTTAAACTCAAGGAAGATAATTTCAGCTGAACTTACACCAATCTTCATTATATTACTACAATAGAAAAAATGGGATACTTAATTTATCTGTATAACTGATACAACACTTCACACATTTTACTGATTTGTTCGCTGCTAGCATCAAGTAAACCGATACATATTACTTTACTGATATAATTCAAAGTATTTATGAATATCATATATCATCAATTAACGTTAAACATCTCTTTTTTCACCATGAAATCAACAAATTGTCACGTTCCGGTTTTCATTTAATGGATGCTCAATACTGTGTTTTCTTCCATTACCTATGTATAGTGTGGCGCATATGTATCTGGTGCCCTTTTGTACCAATATGTATGTGTTTAAATAAATAAATAAATAATCCATTACCTACTATTACATTACAATGAGTACTAATTATTATTGCAACCCAACAGTTATTTACAGATTCATTTTTAAAGTTGCGAGTTACATCTGCTTTTTTATTTTTTATTTAAACACATAAATATTGGTACAAAGAGGCACCAGATACATATGCGCCACGCAAATCTCATTCGATTTGTGTCAGGGCTGTGATACTGTCCAGGTGCCCAAACTGAAGCAGGTGGTTTTCTTAGGGAACCACACCCGAAGCATTTGGCCTAAAGGTCTGACCCACAAGACAGTGGAGCATCGTGAGGAGATGCACTTCCATGGTGACCGGTGGCTAACGATTGATTCATACGCTATTTGCTTCCTCAGGATACTGGAGTCCATGTGCACCATTGGTTTGGATTCAGGGTTTTCCAACTCCCCTAGGTGAACTTTCCATGTCCACCAACCCGGTTAAAGCGCCGGACATTCGTTTTTTGTCCTCTCAATTTCGTAAACAACACCCCCACCACGAGAAGGCAGTGAGTAGGACTTCCCTGACAGAGGCTATATACGCGTGGCCATGTGAGCATTTCCAGAGGGAGAGCGAACTCTCCTCACTATCAGTCGTACCAGGGGGCCATCTGCTTAGTGAAAACTGTCAAACTGTTGTTATGTTGAAATACAATGCGAGTGTGTAACGTAGTGATTAAGAGTTGATCGCTTAAATCATTTTGCCAAATTTATACGCTAAATAAACACATCTTATGTTAGGTACATATGTTCAGTGTGGTGAACTCAATAAATCTAACACAAAGTCGACTACTAACTAAGCATACGATAAGATGGAAATCATTAAGTGGTCTTATAGTTTATCATTGTGTTTACATTTTTATTTTGAATTTAAATTAATCAATGAGTAATGATGTGTATTGTTTAACTAAAATATCGTGTATTGACTATATTCACCTCAGCATTTCACATGATGCTATCTATTCGTGGACATAGAAAATTGACCGTATTTGTACCACTTAAATAAACTGTAGTAATACATTTCAAAACATTAGCAGTAAAGTTTGCTATCAAATTGTCATGTTCATTGTAAAAATCAGTTTGTATTTTGTTCTTACTGCCTATAAAATATCAATGAACGTAGTCCAAAGAAAGATAAAGGTGTGGTGCCGCTCGGTTTTTCATCGGGAATCACTTTTTGTTTCTTACAGGATTACTGCATGATCATCTATTTAAACGTTTAGTCTACTGAGGAGTGAGGTAATGTCAAATTCATTTCCACGATATTCAATGATCAACGGATGCCCATTCGTTCTTTCAAGGTCCTGGAGCTTATGTACACCACTTGCAACACAACTTATTATCTTCATCTTAACTTTTCATATTCACTAACCCAGATTTAAAAATTGGTTGTAAGTCAGTCAGTTTTACAGAATAACCCTCACTCAAGGGCACTGAGAATTATGACTTTCTTGCCCGACCGTTGCTGCTACCTTGACGTGGTGGTCGGGCTTGCCTATCGTGATGAAGCAATCGAGCTATGCTGGTTGGAACAATCGTTCCTCGAGGTCCTACCATGCCAGACAGGTCGGTTGAAGAGCGGTGAGACTAAAAGCAGCAAACCCAAGGTCCGAAGGCGAAGTCGTACTGTCGACTGTACAGAGGTGTGACGGCAGTAAGGTGTTTCCTTCCGACAACCAGCATGACAGCGATGCTGCCTTCCCACAAGGAGGGGTGGGGTTAGAAAAGGTCGGCCCTAAAAATGCACACCTCGCCTTATCCCACGGATATCCGTCTCCGGCGGTAAGGTTTTTTTGAAGAACGGAGCTGACACGTCAAAAATCCCCCACAAAAAGGTCGTGTGTGACCGACCTCAAGCAGTTGTCCCTTGGGCACTGCGGTCACGCTCTCAGGTCACTAAGACCACTTCTAACCCAATTTCCTTTTCAGGTACCCCCAGGAGAACCCTTCCACGGTGTGGGCAACCGGGAAGTGATAACTGCCCTCATACCCCTAACAGCACTCAAGACCACCGTATTCATAATCAATCTCCTTCAATTCCTACTATTCCTTCTACCTTGACTTTCAACACTAAACTTCCTGTTCCGGTTTCCTCCTCAAGTGTCACCATGGCCAACGATTCTAGTGCGCGAAACGCTGTCCCAGGTCTACTTAAACCTCGCTCCAAACTACACATTGGAGCCTTCAACGTACGTACCCTATGCCAAATCGGTCAACAGGCCTCCTTAGCTAAAACCCTAGAATCTCGTACCATTGATGTATGCTGTGTCTCCGAAACACGCTTACAGGATCCCAGTGTGGTCATTCACTTGACCTCACCTCGCCAAAATGGACAGCCAACGAAATACACCCTCCGTGTATCTGGCGACCCGTTGGCTAGTTCTCGCGGACTTGCAGGTGTAGGCATAGCACTAAGTACAAGGGCAGAACAGGCACTACTAGAATGGATCCCCGTTAACAATCGCCTGTGTGCTGTCCGGCTGAATGGCTCCGTAAGAACTCGGAAGGATAGGGACACACGTCGTTGCCTTTTCGTCGTTTCTGCCTACGCTCCCACCGACTGCAACCATGATGAAGTGAAAGATGACTTTTACAGAAAGCTCTCTGAGCTTCTTCAGAAAGCTAAGCGCTCAGACATAGTAGTCGTAGTGGGTGACTTTAATGCTCAGGTAGGCAGCTTGAATCAAACAGAAAGACATTTAGGTGGGTGTTTTAGTATTCCGGCTCAACGAACCGATAATGGTGATCGTCTGTTGCAACTATGCTCAGACAATCGTTTATTTTTAGCAAGCACTAATTTTAAACATAAGGAGGGACATCGTCTAACATGGCGACCACCTGCACCAGACCAACGATGGACTCAAATAGACCATATTGTCATCAGTCATCGTTGGAGAGGCTCAATAGAAGATTGTCGCTCGTATTGGAATACTTGTTTAGATTCTGATCACGCTTTAATACGAGCGCGCATTTGTCTGCGCCTCAATGGACGCAGGAAAAGTACACTAAGAAGACCCATTAGGATTGAACTGGAAGATGAGAAAGCCAAATCCGAATTCCAGAAACAACTAAGTTCACATCTAGGCAGTTCTGTAAACAAGACTGACACAGATGCTGCTTGGAAAGACATACGAACAGCTGTGGAAATAGAAGTAACATCTATTAGTCATTTAAACCATAGGGCTCCAAAAAACCAGTGGATTTCTTCTAAGTCTATTTCACTGATGGATTCGCGTAAACTCATCCCATCAGGCTCTGAACATGACGAAGAGCGTAAAGAAATTAGATCTAGGTTAACTAAAAGTCTAAGGAACGATCGTGAGCAGTGGTGGACAACGAAAGCAAAAGAGATGGAAAAGGCAGCGGCTGTAGGGAACACCAGGCAACTATTCAGACTAATAAAAGAAACCGGAATTAAGAAGTCAAGTGTAAGTGAGACAATCTCCGAAAAAGACGGAACCCTTATCTGCTCTCAGTCCAGACGTTTAGAACGATGGGCGGAACACTTTAAGGAGCAGTTTAGCTGGCCTTCAGCTACTGCACAACTACCCACTATTCCTAAAAAACCTGAATGGAACATTGAAGTAGGCCTCCCGACCCTACTCGAAGTTCAAAAGGTTATAGGTAATCTGAAACGAGGAAGAGCAGCTGGTCCAGATGGATTGGCTCCAGAGGTCTTTAAATATGGTGGTCCGATTTTAGCGATTAGGTTGACTAATATTCTGGCTAAAATCTGGGAGACGGATGTAATCCCATCCGACTGGTCACAATCACTGATTGTCCCAATATATAAAAAGGGGTCAAAATCATCCTGCGATAACCATAGAGGGATTAGTCTGACCAACATAGCATCTAAAATACTAGCCTCAATAATTATCGGGCGCCTAACTAAGACTCGTGAACTGCAAACACGAGAAAATCAGGCTGGCTTCAGACCTGGTCGTGGCTGTATCGACCACATATTCACCATTCGTCAAGTTTTAGAGCACAGACACGCTTATCGGCGTCCGACAATGATAGTTTTTCTTGACTTGAAAGCAGCGTTTGACTCTGTAGACCGAGAGGTTCTGTGGCAGTGTCTGTCATTGAAAGGTGTACCTGAGAAGTACATAAACCTTGTGAAGGCTCTTTACTCAAACACTACCAGTCGAGTGAGAGCTTATGGCGAACTGTCATATGATTTTACAACCTCAAGTGGTGTCCGACAAGGCTGTCCACTATCCCCATTTTTGTTTAACTTCATTATAGACCTGTTGCTGGAAATAACACTCTCTTCGACTGAATTTACAGGAATTGATCTCCTACCAGGGGGACCACTAATCGACTTAGAATACGCAGATGACATAGTCCTGTTTGGTGAAGACGCTGGCAAAATGCAGAGTCTTCTGTTGGAACTCAGTAATAATGCCAGGATGTTTGGGATGCGTTTCTCCCCATCCAAATGTAAATTGTTACTCCAGGACTGGCCTACGTCAACACCTGAACTAAGGATAGGGAGTGAAGTAGTCGAACGCGTGGACAACTTCACTTATCTTGGAAGTCTGATCAGCCCTAATGGGTTGGTGTCTGACGAAATTTCAGCACGGATTCGAAAAGCTCGTTTGGCTTTTGCCAACTTACGTCACCTATGGCGAAGACGAGATATCCGTCTATCAATTAAAGGACGAGTATACTGCGCATCAGTTCGCTCTGTTCTACTTTACGGTTGTGAAACATGGCCATTAAGGTTAGAAGATACTCGTAGGTTACTAGTATTTGACCACAGATGCCTTAGAAATATTGCTCTCATCTGCTGGGATCACCGGGTAAGTAATAGTGAGGTTAGACGCAGGGTATTAGGGAACGATGGTAAATCAGTTGATGAGGTGATGAATCTTCATTGACTGAGATGGTTGGGCCATGTGTTACGTATGCCTGAACACCGATTACCACGACGCGCTATGATGACTAGTGTAGGGGATTGTTGGAAGAGAGTTAGGGGCGGCCAAACCAAAACATGGCATCAGTGTTTGAAGTCACTAACTTCTAGTCTGAGCCATGTTGACAGATGCAGACTACCTGGTTGGGGTCCGCGTGACTATCGTAACCAATGGTTGGAGACTCTAGGTGACATGGCTCAGAATCGATCACAATGGCGTAGGTGTATACACTCTTTGTCTTCCCTTAAACCTTGAGACTAAAATTGCTTCATATCTCTCTTCCTTCCTATACTATATCCTTATATACAACCTATAATTTATATACTACTACCACCACTACATTAATTACTTCTATGAATCCGGTGTTCATCTTGTTGTGCTAACGAGGTATGGCAACTTGGACCGATGCATATATGTGCCTGGTCCTACGTTGTCGCTGACTGATGACTTTCTTGACATAGGATATGTTGTCAATTTTACTGCATCTTGGTAACTATGTTTTTGCTTCGGTTGATCTGCGAGCGTAATATAAGTCATGGGGTGTAAAGCATCTACTTTATCTCGTTTTAAGCTGGTTGTCGAATAATATCGTATGTTTTATGCTACTACTGTTCGATATGAATAGTTGTTTAGCACCCAGTCAGCCAGTTCCGAATGAAAATAACTATGTGGCTGGGTTCATTAAAAATGAAAGTGAACTAGTCTATGTCAGTTGATTTATTTAATTAAATCATATCACATTATTTAAATCTTGTGGTCTGAAAAATACTAACTTTTGGTTCGATCATCTACAATGAAAGGGTACATCTTCACTTTTCTCTTTCTACGTATTTTTATTATTGCGATCTTACTGTCAGCTTGTTCATTCGTTTTTTTTTCTATTGAAAATTTGTTTCTCTTGTTTGTTCTAGTTGTTAATCTTTCCTGAGGGCACAAATTTGAATAGTAAATCGTTGGAGAGAAGTGACAGTTACGGGGAGCAAAATAATTTACCATATGTTCGTTATACACTTCATCCTAGAAGTACTGGATTCTTGCATTTAGTAAAACTGATCGGCTTAGGTTAGTTTGTGAATATCGTATTTTCTTTTTTTGAATAAATACATAAAATAATGATTTGGTTGAAGGGGTTTTTTGGAGACTCGTTTAATTTGCAGGCTGTATTCGTCTCAGATTGATCTCACTTGGGGTACAATGGAAAACAAGAGTACACTGGACAGCTACTTCGTTCTAGTAGTGCGCAGTAGTGTGTAATCCACGACCATACCAGGAATCGAACATAGGATCTTCAGGACTCGAGACAGGGTGCTTAAACATTAGATTGGTATTTAATTGAACAATTCTTTTAATTTGCCTTTAGTTCTACTACACTGAATACAAGTTATTTTTGAAACGCCAGTTTCGTGTTAAGAATAACATGTTGGATATATTCTTCACTTAACTGTAAGTTGACGATGAGTGGATAGATATTAGGTGTTTCAAATCAAATGTTTAACATGTGAATCCATTGAACATTGACATAGGAACGTAATAAACAGAACATATTTGTTAATAACATTATATTGTACATAAAGTTACATGATTCACTTGTTTTAATTCTTTCGTTTTACTCAAAGCAAATGAATTTTTACAGTCACATCTATTCAAAAGTAAATAGATACTTTGTCTCTTTATCTATTTTTTTTATCTATTTTTCAAGGTTAAAAAAGTAGGCTCCATGTGGTATTTTCCTTCCACTGTTTTTTAAGGTTCTATGGCTGTAGTTATATAACCAAATTAATTAGTTTTTGAGTATTTCAAGTCAACTTGATGCTGTAACTAATACTACTGCTGATATCACCATCACTCTGGGATAAGTACTGATAACATTCTGGCTGTGTTGACATGTTATAGCAACTTGAAGGGAAGGACACATTTGGCTTGTCTTATGTTTTTTATGGATCTGAAGTTCTTAAGTTTGATTCTTCATGAGATCACATACTTGTGCACTGCTAAGGAGTTCCAACCAAGAACAAAACACCTTTTGTTGTCTGACCTGGATGGTTTGGTAGTGGAGCTTTCATCGTCCTTCTGATCGACGTCAAGTAAAAACTTCAGGTAAAAGTAAAGTGTTCGAATTTCTCCACATATGACTCACAGGTTGTTCTGTGGATCTCAATCTTGGTTGTTTACTGTTGACCTTTAACCTGTCATTGTTGACGTCTTTATTTTGATTGAATTTCCCATCGATTTGATTCTTGTTCCTGTATTTGTCCATGTTTTTCCTAGTTAGTTAATAGATTGGATTGATTTCAATGTGTTTGTTGATTGCTGATTGACCTGAGTGCCAAGTTTCTGAAAATTCTTTCGTGCTAATAGTATTCCTTCTATTTAAGATCTCAAAATTTTTCCAATCGAATGTGTCCACATGTATTGGTATAAATGAGGATATTTCATGGCGTTTGACCGCTAGTTGATGTTCATGCAGGCGAAGATGAAGATGATGTCCACTTTGTCCAAAGTAGTGTTTTTCACAGTTGGAACAATACATTTTGTAGACGATATTCGGCTTTTCTTCTTTTGTCATTTCGCCATTTCGAGGATTGATAGTCTTAGATCCATACTGCCTAGGAGTCACATACTAGGATGAAACAATCGTCCAGTGTTTTTAGTTGATCAAACATGGTCTAACTAAAATCAGTTCGTGATTTAAACTGTAAAAAATATTGTTAATGATTACATATATACAACTTTGAAAATGAATTAGTCTAAAAGAGATCTCTTTGCTAAATCGATCTTTTTCTATTTTATCTCTATTGATGTATATTCCGTTTACAATAATTTTCGTCGAATCTATGTTTTATCTAATAAAGTTTCTATAGATGGTACTGGATTAGTTTAGGCCTTTGTTTTTTTGGGTTTTATTCTAGCTTAAAAAAATAATTTTTCACTTCCAGTCACCATGTAAATTATGTGATTCAAAATAAACTAAACTCGTGAATTAAGTGGTTATTTTAAAACTAATTGAGTTTTTTTAAATAAAGTTTTTCATGGTAACAGTAATAAAGTAATTTTTGTTTAAATTGACATGATGTGATGATTTATTTTATCTAAGAGAACGGTACGGATGTTACTTGTATTGAATAAATATTATTTCATGTTTATAAATCATTATGTCACATGTGCTTGAAATATTGTCTGTTCTGTTGAATTAGAAATAATTACGGTTACATATTATGATTGAAGGTTTGATTTGATGATACCTTCAGTAAAATTAATTAGTACTATAAGGGGAATCAGAATATAAACATGACACATACTTACTAACTTACCTACTTTTGCCTGTTACTCCTCGTTGAGGAGTATAGGCCACCCACCAGTATTCTACACCCAACTCTGTCCTGGGCAATCCTTTCCAGTTCTTTCCATTTGTTATTCATCCTTTTCATATCTGCTTCTATTTCCCAACGTAATGTGTTCTTTGGCCTTTCTTTTTTCTCCTTCCCTTCCGGATTCCAAGTTAGGGCTTGCTTTGTAATGCACATTGGTGATTTCCTTAATGTATGTCCGATCCACTTCCAACGTCTTTTCCTAATTTCCTCTTCAGCTGGAAGCTGGTTTGTCCTCTCCCATAAAACGCTGTTGCTGATAGTATCCGGCCAGTGGATGTTGAGTATTTTGCGTAGACAACTATTTATAAATACTTGTACCTTCCTGATGATGGTCGTAGTAGTTTTCCACGTTTCAGCTCCGTACAGTAGGACTGTCTTGACGTTCGTATTGAAGATTCTCACTTTGAAGTTAGTTGACAGTTGTTTTGAGTTCCATTGCTATTTGACTGGTCTTCCCTGTCTCCCACATTGTCCGGACGTTCCATGTACCTATAAAAAGTGTTGTTTTGGTTGTTAGAAGGTGCATCGGCATGTGACTTCCGAAGAATTTCAGCTTTCATCATGAGGCGTCATAATTGTTCCTTCACTTTGGAGGGCAGAGTTTAAATGGTTTGAATTATTTCTACTGGTTAGCGTTTTTTAGCGAGTTAGCTTTCTACGGGATGGGGTCGCCAACCCCATGCCCAACCCTCCTCCTTTACCCGGGCTTGGGACCGGCAATAGCTCTAGAAGAGCTACAGGTGGAGTTAGACATGACCTAGTAAACACTTTATCCAACTAAATTAATTAATTTCTTATTCATTGTTATATTGCATATATATCTCTGCATGTATATATCAAGTGATGTATGGAAGAGAATCAGAGAGTATGTACTTTTCCTTTCTTCACAGTGATTACCAACTATTCATTTGCATAGTGTTGTGTAGGAATTTACTGAAAAAGATAGATCTTCACCAAATCAATCGTTCTTGTTTTTATACCTCAGGGGATGCTATCTGTTTATTGTTTTAAACATATATCATATTGTGGCAGGAACATTTCACGTATAATATAGTGTTCAAATAGTTGACAAGAAGGAAAATTTGTTAATAGGCGCGGTGTTTCAGTTTGAGATTTCCAGTAATTAGCATCATGTTGGTCTTGCGTAGTACCGCATGAGTACATGCAGATAAGGTTCATAAATATTTGGTTGGAACAGTATTTGTACAGTTATAAAATAAGTGGCCCAAACGTTTGAACAACTCGCTATAAAGTTTCAAGCTATGCGTTCTTTTGTATAAGGATTAGTAACACTGTTCTATCGAGAAAATGGAATTGAGTTAAAAGTAGTTAAAAACAAAATTCTTATCTATTTAGTAATCATCACAAATTTAACTTATGTATATAGTGATAATGATACCCTTATTATATCGATTAGATAGTTTTAGTGTACACTTCCAGAGGAAATTGTGTAGATCATTATGGATCGGCAAATAATGTGATTATCATTACTATTTACAATAGATGGGATGTAGCTAGCTGTGGAATATAAAACACTCGTTTCGCCCTGCTTGGGACTTGTCATCTATAGTTGATGTCCACCCCGGAATTTAAACTCAGTGCCTTCCACCATAAACACCGACGCGTTATTCACTTAGCTACAGAGTCCAGACATCCACTCACTTGTATAACGGGTATATTTTGTCATTTAATTTGTAATGATTTGAATATCCCACTGTTTAGATTTCAGTCAAAACATCAATGACAGAATAATCCCCGAACCATTATAACTTATTATTATTGTCATTATTATTATTATTATTATTATTATTATTATTATTATTATTATTATTATTATTATTATTATTGTTATTATTCAATACTGATCCTATATAATAATTTGCTGTCATCATATTCTACTTCTAGTTTCATACACCTTACAATTGCTTCTCTTATCGTTTTTATAGAAAAGAAAGTGTGATATGTACTTTTCGCAAAATTTGGTTAGCATGACTAATAAGTGATTGCATTATTAGATTGTGCTAATTGTTATTATAGTCATCATAGCTTATATGGTAATATATCATATAGTTCTGATAATCTTTGTCTTCTTATTACACTATCGAAATTTATATGGTAACATATTTTTGATCGAACAGGTATATATATTTCTTATTACTATTAATACGAACATGATTTAAGGTTATTTATTGTGTGTTTGATTTAAATAACGCTTGAATTCGTCTACAATATAAAGTGGATTCGTAAGTAATATCGGTAACGGTTGTTGTAATTTTAAATGAATAAACAGCATTTTAGTAATTTGTATACATATATCCTCACATTGTTCTTTCTTTGATATTGCTATACTTGTTAGTACATTTGTATAAAGTGAATCGAATTTGACTATTTAGTATTTCTGTTTAATTTAGTTTGTCCTGTTCTACTTTCTGGCTGTGACACGTCACCTTTAAAAAGTAGGATCTATCCATAGGTTATTAGTATTTGATCAAAATGCTTCCGAAACATTGCTCGTATATGATGAGGCGATCGAGTGAGCAGTGCTGAGGTTAAACACAAGATACTAGGTAAATATGGCAAATCGATTGATGAGGTTGCGAATCTTCAGTTATGGTGTTTAGGGCATGTATTCCGTGTGACCACTCGTCACCTAGACCGTAACTCGATGGTGGTGTAGAAATAGGCTAGAAGAAAAGAGGCCAAAACAAAACGTATCAGTTCACGAAGTTATTCACAATTTAACTGAGTCCTATTGGTAGATTCAGACTACCAAGTTGGGTCTCGTGCAATTATCGTAACCAAGTGTTAGTATTAGTCTTTTTCTGCTGGATGTAATGTCTTGCTGTATTAAATTTCTTTGTTCATTTTCAAATATATAAGTGGTACTATGATGTTATGAAAATGTTACCTATGTAAAAAGTACACGTTCATGTATTTGCCCATATATACGATCGAGAGTGGGGAGAGTCCGTTCTCCCTCTGGAAATGCTCACATGGCCACGCTTATATAGCCTCTGTCAGAGAAGTCCTACTCACTGCCTTCTCGTGGCATTACTGCTTACGAAATTGAGACGACGAAAAACGAATGTCCGGTGCCTTAACTCGGTTGGTGGACACGGAAAGTTCATCTAAGGGAGTTGGAAAACCCTGATTCCAAACCAATGGTGCACATGGACTCCAGTATCCTGAGGAAGCAAATAGCGTGTGAATCAATCGTTGGTCACCGGCTGCTGTGAGACTGCATCTCCTCACGATGCTCCACTGCCTTGTGGATCAGATCTTTAGATCAAAGGCTCCAGGTGTGATTCCCTAAGGAAACGACCTGCTTCAGTTTGGGCACCTGGACAGTATCACAGCCGTCATACAAATCGAATGAGATTTGTGTGGCGCATATGTATTCAGTGCCCCTTTGTACCAATATTTATGTGTTTAAATAAATAAATGAATAAGGAATATTTATGTTTCTCATTATCATTGAATAGCTAAGATCAGTTCGTGATTTCAACAATAAAGTTTCTACAATATCTGCACATCCCCCTTTACTAATAATTATCTGCTCTCTAATGAATAGATTCAAGGTGTGATTCCTGGAGTTGTGACACGTTGAGTTCAACTACGTCACGTTTTGAGGCAGTTATTCACCACAAACAATGGAAAATGGTTGTATGGTATCGCAAATTGACTGAAGTGAGACACGTTCACCACTGTTTGCCTGCTCAGTAGTCTACAGGTCAAGGGTTTTCGTGAGAGGCCGAAGTTTGTCAGTTCAATCCTCTGTGATAAGATTGTGGATGCACACTAGTTCGGAGTCGCATACTCAAACTAAGTATTTATCCAATGCTTCATTGTTTTCACTTGAGATCTAACTGAAATTGGTTCATGTTTTAAACTATGAAAATAATAGACATTCAATTATTTGAATTATTGGTTTATAATTTGCTATGTCTCTTTTTATTTTTACCTATATCTTGTAACAGATAATCTAACTGAAGTATATGATGTTACAGTAGCCTATCCGGATATTTTACCATCACCGGAAATTAATCTATTCTATGGACATGTCCCACATGAAGTTCATTATCATATTCGCCGTTTCTATTTAAATGATTTATTGGATATCACACATGATAATCGAAAATTAGATGATGAAATAAATGATAAATTATCAAAATGGTTACAAAATCGTTGGTTAGAAAAAGAAAATATTTTAAAAGAATACTATGGTTAGTTTTCTTTATAAATTAATGTTTTATATATTATTGATTTAATCTTATTGTATATAGACATTATGTATATGTATATATGCTTTAAAAATATTGTCTAAAAGTGGGAAGTAGTTGCCATTTTAACTAGTTCAAGTTTGAATTTTTACCAATCAAAGAGAAATAATCATTTTTATTGATTAGACATATACTCAGACTAATCGTTTAAATGATAGAGATAAATTGAGTTATTATAGACCATGGTTTTTCTCTCCCTATAATATTTAAACATTTCAAGTAATGTAAAGTTTAAAATGAGACGTTACTCATGGAAGATCAATATTCTTAAAGTATAAGTTTATTTTGTTCTAAGAACTGGGTTGTATAGACATCAACACTTCATTCAGTTGTCGAATCTCACATAGGATTATACGCGTTTTCTAGATTCGACTATCAGATACTGATCAGAAATCGAGATAAGAATGAAATAGTGTTGACCATTAGTAGCACTTGTTTTCGTCAATCATAAATACTTTCTTTATTTTAGAATAAAAATAATTATTTTGTGCCTTTTTTGTGATAATCCATGTAGTTGTAATGGTTACATAAAAAACGTGGATGTATGTATGATTGAAGCGATACACATGTAAACTTCACAAATACTCATAAATTACTGTCATATCTAAATGTATACGCACTTAAATTCTTCACAGTTATCTGTGGCCTCGTAAAAAATCCACCTGCTTCAGTTTGGGCACCTGGGCAGTATCACAGCCCTCACACAAGTCAAATGAGATTTGTGCGGCGCATATGTTTCTGGTGCCCTCTTGTACCAATATTTATGTGTTCAAATAAAATAATAAAATAGTCAGTCTGTGAAGTCATTTACTGATGGTTTGAACCGTGTTGGTCAACTCAGACTACGTGGTTGGGGTCTGCGAGGTAACTGCGATTAGTGATTGGAGACTTTGGGTAAGATGAATCAAGATCATTCACAATCTCATAGGAACATTCACCCTTTTCCTTCATCTCGTTCTTGAATTGTTGTATATCTTCATGCATACGTTTTCACTATATCTTCTCGAATCATCTTCGCAACGTTTCATCTTTCTTTTCATCATTGGTACTACAATATTTCAAGGCAGGGACTCAATTTTGAGGTTTAAGTCGTACTATTGACTACTGGGGTGTGATAACAGTAAGATGTATACCCCAGACGATCAGCATATACTAGGATACTACCTTCTCACAACGAAAAGAACGGGCTAAAAAAGGTAGAATTTGAACACTTTGGACTTGCGTGTTTGGCGGTTTGGCTTCAAATGTACAAAATTAACGCCAAAAACTCTCAAAAAGACCGTATGTAACCAAATCCAACTAGTTGTCTCTCAGACTCTGTGGTCACACTCCCAGGTTACTAAAACCACTTATAATTCAGTTCTTTTGACGGCTTCTGAAGAAAAATTCTTCCAGGGTGTGAGCGACTTTCCAGTTACCCATTATTACCAAATGACCTGAATAGAATATCGGCGTTAGCCTGAGACTCCTAGCGAAGTTGAAGGTTATTAGTCAAGTTTTACCAGTTATGTTACTCCCAACCATTGCTGCTACCTTAACATGGTGTTCGGGCTTGAATATCATGTTAAATCAATCGAGCTATACTGGCTGGGACAATCGTTCTTCAAGGTCCTACTACTCTAGACAGGTCGGCTGAAGAGCAACAAGACTAAAAGCAGAAAACCCGAGGTCTGAGGTCTAAGTCGTACTACTGACTATGCAGAGGCGTGATGGCGCTGTGTTTCCTTCAGACAACCAGCATAACAGCGATGCTGCCTTCCCGCAAGGAGGGGTGGGGTTAGAGAAGGTCGACCCTAAAAGCACACATCTCGCCTTATCCAGAGGATTTCCGTCTCTCTCGGTGAGGTCCCAATAAGTGCTGAGCTAACGCAAAAACCACCCACAAGAAGGTTGTGTGTGATCGGCCCCAATCCGTTGTCCCTTGGGTATTGTGGTCACGCTTTCATGTCACTAAGACCAACTGTAACCCAATTTCCTCTTCACATACTTCTAGATGAACCCTGCCACAGCGTTGGCAACTGTAACAGCAGTCAAGACCACTGTTAGTTACGTTAATTGAGATATTAGTTTGAGTCTGGGAGCTGGGTGTAATACCATCTAACCGGTCTCGATCACTGATTATTCCAGTTTATAAGAAGGGATAGAAATCCTCTTGTGTTAACCACCAAGGAATCAGTTTGACAAATGTAGTGTTTAAAATATTATCCTGAGTTATCATCTGACCAAATATCCACTCTTTGTCGGGTTTCAAAACATAGGCATCCATGCTGACGTCCGATTATAACTACATTTTGACCTTAAAGTAGCATTCAACTCTTGTAAGCAAAGATGGATAGTGGCTAGCAGTGGAATCCAGGACGCGCGTTTCGTCCTATTTGGGACTCGTCAGCTGGATGTACCTGCATCTCAGATTTGATGTTCACTCTGGGACTCCAACCACTGCTAGTCAATATCCAGTTAGAGACTGATCAGTTGCAGTCCTAACACAATAAGAAGATTCAAACAAACAATACTAAATGAATTTTAGCATTCAACTCTGTTGATCAAGAGGTTTCTTAGCAGTTTTTGTTACTGAAAGAAGTACTAATGAGGTACGTAAGCTATGTAAAGGCTTTTTACTAAACTATCATTGATAGGGTCTGAGACTATGAATAATTGTCATCGGGAATAATATCAGCAAATGATATTCGTTATACCTAAAACAATAATGATTAACTAATAATCTTCGAAAATCTCTCGAACGTTCTGCAAATATTCTTATGTTTTTTTATCATGAAACATTAACACCTTGAAATATTGTCAGTTTTGTGATAATATTGTTCTTATAAACACATAAGCGTTGGTACAACATACACATGAGCTACACAATAACAATGAGGCCAGTAGTTGTTATCACTTTTATAAACAACAACTTATTCTATTTGAACCATGATAGCCTATATTTGTTTCGTGTCTCTTTTTGATGTAGGTTTGTTCTCTGAGCTGGATGGTTAGGTCGTGGAGCTTTCATCGTCCTTCTGATGATGTCATTCAGAAGGACGATGAAAGCTCCACGACCTAACCATCCAGCTCAGAGAACAAACCTACATCAAAATCACCCACCTGAACTACAAATCTTCTTCACCATATCAAAATCATACGTTTCGTGTTTCATTCGTTTCTTACCATTAGTAATTTCTAGATTTTCTTGGTACTATATTCGAAGTTCATAGTCATGTTTAACTATTTGAAAAAATACTCAGTATTTTTCTCGATTGAATTTCAACATAAAGTTTATTAGTATTTCGATGTTATTTTTTTTACTATTTTTACTAATAATGTGAGTGCCTAGAAGTAGTAGTTGTATTCAAGAAGATGAACTGATTGCATCACTGTATATTCGATCGTATGTCTATACCTACCAAAAAAAATGAGCTTACATATTTTAAAATGATGTAATTTAAGAAATTAAAACCACAAGCATTGACAAAATACTTAAAAATGAATCAAGGTTAACCTGTCTACTAATCTGTAAATATCGTTTATTCAATAAAACGTTCTACTAATTATGATTATGGCAATATTATTGCTAGACAATGTCTATCAGTGAAATCCAGGACATACGATTCATCATATTTAAGGCTTGCCAGTTTGATGTACCTATATCTCAATGTTGATGTTCAGTTCGGGATTCGGACCTTGATGTGATGGGATTAAAAAAATTACATTCTTTTACTCATTGTGATCATTGTTTAAGATACGGTATACTTGTATTAAATTAACATGAACTACGCTCAGCATGATACTCAGTATATGATTTGTCGTAACTCTAAGTATTCCTCATATATGTGATTTCATCCTAACTAATAGTCAAAATGGGTGTACAATCAATTTATAAATGAGCGTATTTTCGAATAGGGTCGTCGTCGTGTTTGAGGTTAATGAATCTCTACTTGTATCAGTATTGGTGTTCTTACTTCGCGTCGTGGAATTTGCAGTGGTTTCTCGTTTACAGGCATAAGTAATAACTGATTCCGATATAACGATCAGTGACGACCAGACGTAACGGTTGGCAATGCAATCATAACAGACTTATTATCTTCAACCATCAGCGCTTCGTCCATTGAACTACTGAGTCTGGAAAGCTAGTAGCTGATGTATCCTAAGCAGGTCGCCGTGATATTGCTATTTAATCACAGGCATATTAAGGTTGGGCAGTGTCATTATCGTAGTACACTACTCAGGAAGCACATATGCTGATACAGATTGATCGATTGAAGTTCTTAATATGAATTATAGGAGAATATAAATCTTTACAAATAATTATAATTATTATCACTACTATTTATCGTTAACAAACATTCAAATAGTAATATATATGTATATTCTTCACTTTTTTAATCTTACAGCTAATCCTATTGGGAAACGTTCATTTCAAAATGAAATAACACCTGATAGTCTAGTATTCTATGTGGATTCGTCAGATAGCATAATGTTCACTTATTTGGGTTTATTCAATACTGGATTTTGGTTTCTATCTATGTTCAGCTTAGTGTATCTGACTTATACTACATTCTACATTCAAATTTATTTTATCATAACTCAGTTATTGTTTACTTATTTCACCTATTATACAAATGGTGTTAATATATGGGCCACTAAATGGATTAGTAATTCTGTTAAAGGTGAAAACAATGAGATCAATGATATTGCGTTTAATACCACTACTGCTAATAATAGTCGTAATATTAAACGTGATGATGTTGATAATAATGCCAATAATGTCTTTATGCATTCAGTTCAATATGAAGGTGTTGATCAGAATAGAAAAGCTACCTAAAATCACGTTGTTGCGCTATAAATACATAAAGTATAAATAACATGCATCCAATATGTTGAGCTGTTTGGTTTGTTGGTGTTTTTTCGAAAGGAAAGTTGATTACTCTTTTCAATCATCTTCACATTCATACTACTTGTTGTGCTTACTTTTCGTATCCTTCTCCACCGTTTGTTTGCTATCATCCTCAGTCAGTATTAATCATTTTAATGCATTTTCATCCTTAATTATGTGAACTTCCTTTTTTCATCATAAATCCGATATCTGTATTATTATATTTTTGTTCTTTTTACATCTGTTATTCATTTGATATCTGCAATTAGTTGTCAGTCGGATGACTTTATTTATTTATTTACGATGATTTACTGCACCCTATGCAAAATCTATTCGTGTGTGCAAATTATTTCCTCTTTTTTCTCATTCAGTAATTACTTGGGACTTCTCTGTGTGTGGATTATTTCGCTTGTTTTCGTTCATTTTTATCGATATTGATCAATTAAAATTTAGATCAGATGTGACGTTGAAATCATACATACATTTATTTTCAGAAACTTAATTTACAACATATAGATATTACCATTCATGTAAACATGTGCTTTTTTTCTTTAATTAAACATTAAGCTTCATTGAATTACTTCATTATTCATCTAAGTATACGTTGATCTTTTGTATGTATTGATTGAAATCCCGAGTACTTTCAGTCTAAAAACAATTGATATCAGGAAACGAATCAAGTTCTGAGTAATGTCATCTTACACCCTTTCGGTGTACCGTTATGATAATGACAACAGAAGCAATTGTTTAGTAATATTTATGGTACTGTTTAGAAACAAACAATGTGAAATATGCAATGCACCTCAACGTTGCTGATATCATCACTACACAGCCAACGTGAATTCCTAACAGATTCATACAAAATTATCTGTAATCATCATCAATATTGTTAGCTAAAAAAATACGAAACTAATCAATTGTTGTTTGAAAAATTATTCCATGCAGATAAATAATTCTTTTCTATCTGCGATCTATTGTGGAAGTCAACAAACTCGAATTCAGACAGTTAAGTACATCAGAATAGCTAATGCGTCCGCTGACTAAACCTTCGCTTAAGTAATAATCAATGTCAGGAAACGTCATTCAATGGCAGGATTAAGAAATCTCAATTGCCAATAAGGAAGTAATAGATAATTTAATCTGAAACAAAACTAAGTAACAGTACATCATTTTAGAGACATACTGAAGCTATTAAAGCTACATGTGATACGACATGGGAGGTTATTGTCTCAAAGAAGCAGTGACCTAGTGGTTAAACCGTCCGACTTCCAGCCACTAAGTATCAGATTTGAAACCTACCACACCTACTACAGTTCAGGGAACGGGATGGCATAATTAACCTTCGAAAAATTGTGACTCATACCAACTAACTAGTGAATAGGTTAAGCTAAATTCCTTTATAATAAAAGCATAGTGTTTGCATTTTTCATTAATCAAAGGTACAAAACGTTTTATCAAATCATATATCATCATCACTGTGATTCAGTTACTTTGTTTATGATTTCACTAACTATTATATATCCGCTTTAAGTTATAAGCATTTATCAAGTAGAATTGTCACTAAAAGTCATCGTTTTCATCAACATACACAGCGTTTGAGATGTATATCGATCTTATTGTTATCGTTACGTATGTTATATATTATGTACAATTCTGCTTTAATTATACTTCACACGCTCAGTTCAGAAATTGAAGTTTATTATGGATTTTCACAGACCGAATACGGTTAGAAAACCATTGAAAACTAGGAGGAACTGGATAGTTGTTTCATCCTGATGCGGAGTTCGTCAACAGTGCAAACTTTTGACTCTACCAAGGATCGAACCCAGGACATTAAATAATGTTTGTGAGCACTTGATCTTAAGACAACTAAGTTAGCATTCAATGGTTCTAACTTCAATCAATTCGCAATATTGTGCGATCATCATCCATTAGCATTATCAATACTTGCCGCATGTCTAACATAATTGAATTCCACTGATTGTAGTTTATCTCTAGAATTACGAAAATAACCTGTTGAAGTTGGTCACTAAATAAACACATGATGAATATTATTATATTATGTTGTGGGATGATTTGTGATGGCAGAAGTGAATGCTACTCGTTAGAGAGTATAGACAAACAGGCACTTATATCAGTGACTACTAAATATGACTTCCTTTCCTTTTATTGACTTCTCATCCGTACTCACTGAGAGTGATTGATAGTAACTGTGCGGAATAATATGATATAGTCTGCATATAGCGGATTGTTCTAGTATTCCGTTTTGCGGTATTATAAACTCGATCATCCAGTCCAATCATATTCCCGTGTCATAGTGTAAGTGTAGTATTCTGCGGAGAGAAAATATTTCAATCCATCCGTTATAACATAGGAATTATTGCCTTTAAAGTTTCACATCAATGGGCTGACTTCAGTTAGATAACCAATCAGTATATTTGGTTGTGTGGAATATAATTAGGATTTACATTTTGTTAACATCACTTTTCTATATGAATAAACTTTGAATTGTTAAAAACCAAACTGGATATTTATACCTAGTAATTGTTGTTTTATTTGGTAACTTTTATAACCTTTAAATGAATTTGGCAGTTTTACACTTTAGCTATCAATCAACAGTTATTGATCATGAATGATTTTCATTTTGCAAAAAATATGTTTTATATTTAAGAAGTTACCAAGGTATGATGAAAAAGGTGAAAAACAATTGATCTTAATAATGTATACAATTCAAGACAAAGTATTTGGTAGGCGTATGAGTTAATTTATCATGATAATTTTACTAGAGTATAGATGATAAATTATTTGTATAAATCTTGAGTGTATGATACTTTCTAGACTCAAAGTTTTGTTGATTAAATTTTGGAAGAAAAAGAATTCCTTTTAAACATATTTGTTTTTAACTGAAAAACATGATTTCATTGTATGATCTTATGAATGAATGCATTTTCGAATACATTCATTAAGAAATAATAGTACTATAGACGTAGGTTGTTCAAAACTCACATAGTTTGCATCAAACAATTTTAAGAGTGTGCTATCGCCATAATACAATACAATAAAACTTCTTTGTAATTCTGTTTTATCTCGTAGAGAATTATGAATGGTAAATTTGAGGACTATTTATGGACCAATATATGTATATTTCTTATTGTATAATTGCTAAGTAACTTAACTATTCATATTCATGTTCCTTTTATTATGAGCTTTATTTTGACCCATGAACTATTACTGTACGATTTGCCATTGCTGAGTTATCCCCAGTCTACTAATTACTGTTCCCTCCCTATTCAAAGCCACATATGGCCAATTATTGTACAAATGTTATTTTCTATTTTATGGTATGATGTGGTCAGTTTCTTTGGTATATAAAATCAGTATGCTTGAGAATAATGATTCATATTGCAGAGGCTGTTATTGGTGTTCTGGACTTAACTGGCTGGGCTAGGCAGGACTGATAAGTACTCAAGACTGTTAATATGGCTTTTGTGTATCATTAGTCCGATCAATAAATTCATTGTTCTCTAATAGGCGGTCTTATCATCTTCATATATAGAACAGCACACACACGCACGCAATCGATATAACAAATTCTGCATCAATATACAATTGTTCTCTAAGAGGCGGTCTTATAACTTCATATACTAAACAGGACATACACTCACACGAGATAACATCTAGTCATTATCTTGAATTGTGAATGATAGACGGTTGTGTGAACTATTGAAACATTCAAATCCTTATTTGATATGGGCGGATTTTAAATGTTAACAAAACAATTCAAATTTTCTTTTCCTACTTATTCACTATAAAGAAGTTATTTTAGAAGATAAAAAGATAGTCTCGTTTGTTCTATTCTTAAACTAGCAGTTCAAAAACCTTGTATTGTTTTTTTTTCAGATCAGAATGTTGTATTACTTTTCTTTATGCGTATACTGATCATTTACAGATTTTCTTTTTTAAAGATGTTCTTTTTCTCGAGAAAATTCAAAGAAAGTATACATCAATTGAATAAATAATTAAGGAAAAAGAGAAGAGAAAATCTGCTCTAAAGACTGTGACAATGGATGATAGACATTCAGATAAATAATTTTAGTTCTGACAACCAACATTTTGTTCTCACGTTATGAAACAATTACAACAGGTAACCATTTTAGCTTCTTCAGGAAAAAAACTTTTTTTTAAGGTAACCCAAATAGACTGAAGTGATGAATGGAGGAACTACAGAGTAGTTATTTTGTTCATCAACCAATTTCACATTATTTCATTTTTAGTAATAACAGGGATTCCTCGGCTGTCAGTAAAGCGGTATGCAGACGAAGGTGAACAATATAAACTCACATATATAATATCATGCTGAAGACATGCATTATTTTGGGGATAATTTTTATATCATACTAATAAAATATGTTCTGATTGATTATCAACTATGTCAATCTTATTACTCATGAATACCTAATTACTAGGATTAATATAAAAATAGAATAAACATGAATGAACTTGAAGGATACTATAAATAGGCCGATATAACAATGAACTATGTATTGACCAAATGATGAATATGTTTGTCACACTAGATAACGAAAACTATAAACTGAAGTTGTAATTGTTTACAGTCAATGGTAAACTATCGATATTGTTTTTGACTTGATTTTTTACAACACCATTAACCATTTACATTTTGTAATACTACTTATTCGTAAACAAAAAGGTTTTCAGTGAAAAATAAATTCTAACCAATGTTCATATTTAAGCAAAGATGGATAGTGGCTAGCAGTGGAATCCAGGACGCGCGTTTCGTCCTATTTGGGACTCGTCAGACGGATGTACCTGCATCTCAGAGTTGATGTTCACTCTGGGACTCGAACCCAGTACCCTCGCTTCAAACGCTATTGCGTTATCCACTCGGCCACTGAGTCCGGATAGCCACTTGCTTGTGCGATGGGGTGAAGTTTAAATTCACTTGGTATTGTTTGTTTGAATCTTCCCATCGATGTGTTAAGACTGCAACTGGTCAGTCTCTTACTGGGCATATGTGCATACTGTGCGTATTGCCTCGATATAGCCTTGATTCACAAGCATGATAAGCAAAGATGGCTAGTGGCTAGCAGTGGAATCCAGGACGCGCGTTTCGTCCTATTTGGGACTCGTCGGCTGGATGTACCAGTTGCAGTCCTAACACATCGATGGAAAGATTCAAACAAACAATACTAAGTGAATTTAACGTTCATATTTGTTTTTAGTTTTTTGTTGTTGTTATTATTATTCTTGTTCCTTAAGTTTAATTCACATGTTTATAAACATTAACCATAGTTCTTTGGAAATTTCGATTAAACATTACTTACAGTACTAGTTATTCAGTCAGTCAGTTACAACGTAGAACTTCGTACTTACGTACATCAGTTCGAGTTGCCATATCACATTAACACAGAGATGCAGTTGTCGATTCAAATTTCATAGTGGTAGAAGTAGTAAGAGTATAAGCAATAATCCGAAGGATTGGGGTTTAAAGATGTCATTGAAGGAGTATAATCCAATGAAATAAATTTGGAAAGAAAAAAGATAGAGATATGAGGAATGCAGAAGATTAGAATTTGGTAAAACACAAAGAGTGAATGTACCTTCGCCATCGCAAACGATTTTGAGGCATGTCATTCAAGGTCTCTAACCATCGGTTGTTATCATCTCGTTGATCCCAATCAGTTAGTCTACACATACCAACATGGCTTAGTCCACTTGTCAGTGACTTCATGGATTTGTGCCATGTTGTGGTTTGGCCGCCCCTAGCTTCCCTCTAACCTACTCCTACACTATGAAACATTGCACGTTGGGGCAGTCGGTGATAGTTCCTCCATTCATCACTTCAGTCTATTTGGGTTACCTTAAAAAAAAGTTTTTTTCCTGAAGAAGCTAAAATGGTTACCTGTTGTAATTGTTTCATAACGTGAGA